TGAATTACAATGCCACAGTGGGAAGGATAATTGATATTGGTAAAAAATATAAATTATTCAGCATCATCAAAACAATTATATTTTACGACTTACAAATAGCATGAATTATTTGAAAAATTATTAAACTTAGAACCATGCCTCTTTTCTCAACAAGTTAGTTACAAACTTGACCCTGCTGGGCCCTGGGGTCGGGGACAACCTCCCTCCGGTTCGCATCACGGTCTGGGGCCAGCTGCCCTGGCCGCGTGTACTTGCAGAGCACAGCAGGCCTGTCCCAGGGTGGGTCCCCCCCCAGACTGACGCGCCCAGGGGGCGGGCTACTTCTGGCTCACCTGCGTGCCCACCAGACGGCGGACGAACGTGCTTGGGGAAGGGTCCCGCAGACAGCAGACGAATGAGTTCACAGGCACAGCGAGAGTGTCAGGGGTAAAGACGGCGGCGCTCAGTTCACACATGCACGGTAAAAGCCCCACCCGTGAAAAGCCTGAGTAGTCTCACGCGAATGTTCCCTCCAAAGCGCCTCTGCCACTCGCTGCAACCAGAGAGAAGCCACTGATAGACAGCACCAGCCCCTCGGCCAAACCCAAAGAGCCAGCCGCCGCCTGCCTGGCCAGCTTGTTTTTCCTCCACTGTCCTCCTTTCCTACAACATCACCACCAAATGCGACCCTCCGAGGTCAGGGAAGGGCCTGCACTCTGGGCCGGCCAGGTCCAGGCTGACTCCAGCCCCGCCGCGTCCACGGGGTTCCAGGAGGAGCCAGCACTGCGGGAGTTGGCAGGACCGTGACCCGGGCGCTCTCGAGCTGTGGGGGACCCTGGCACACAGCGGCACGTGGATGAGGGCATCCCCGGGGTGCTCTGTGAGCGGGAAGCGGGAGCTCAGGCCGAGTCCCCCCAGATTCACACAGAGCAGCCTTCCTTATCTGCATCTTCTGTTGTTTCCAAGAAAGAATTTATCCGCTGGAAGGATCTGTGGCTACAAATAGAGCCACAGGCATTAGGTGTGACTGCAAACCCCAGCTCAAGATAAACCCGAAGGGCACAGGTGTGGCACACGCAGTGAGCTAGCTAAAATACCACAGCGCTCCCGAACTTCACTTCCCCACGACGCCAGGAGACAGAAAACGGCTCCCCCCGGAACGGAGATCAACCTGAGGCCCCTCCAGCGACCCCGAGGCCAGGGCCGCGTCCTCCCTCCGTGTGGCCACCTGTCGCTTCCTGCTCTCCCCCTGCCCGCCCCTACGGTTCCAGCCCGCTCTCTGCCTCTCGCGCTCGTGGATTAATGAACTCATTACCTTGGGTGCCAACAAACCTCTGTGGACTTGTTGCTTCCTAAACTCTTCATTCTCTAAAGAACCAGTGACCCAGATCCAAGATGCCCAGTCCAGGAAGACCCCGGGAGGACCCCAGGGACACAGACTCTGGGAGAGACGTGGACACCAGTACGTGAGATACTGCACGTGGGAAAACAATATCTGCACCGGGACCGGGCCACGGGGAGGGGGCTGCTGACGTCGCCTGTGGACCGCTGGTGGCCACACTGGCCACAGCACGTGGCTGCCTGCCTGACTCAGGCCTCTGGAGAGAGGCGACCTGGGTCCGCCCCCCGTCAGGCCTCGGCAGACAGCGCTGGCCGGCGGGTAAGACCAGAGGACGCTCATCGGATGCTTTTTCACTGTCCTGGAAGCATAAATGCACTCGAAATACATTAACTCGCCTTAGAAAACACCCAGCTCCGCACAGTAATTCTACCCCTCGTCTCCTCTGGGCTGGCCCTGCGCGTGGCTCAGACGAGGACGACTCTTCGACCGCAACTGCCTGTTCGCCCAGAGCCCTCTTGTGTTTCTAGTCAAAGTGGAAAGTGAGCGGGACTCCGCTCCTGCTCCTTGCAGCCCAACGCTAAGCCCGCCGGGGCTGCGGTGACGGGCGGGACCCAGGTCCGTCCCCGTGGACAACCTGAATCGGCCTCTCTACCCAGGTTTGATTATTTTCTGGAATTCTTCCCCATCAGAAACTAAACAGAGAAAACAATATGAGTCACTGGCTAGAGCAAAAGGCACAAGGGCCGCAGGCCTCACGCAGACCAGTGGTGAAGAGGCTGGCGGGGCAGGGCCCTGGAGAGGGGAAGGGGCCGGCGGGGCAGGGCCCTGGAGAGGGGCCGGC